ACCACCTAAGGGATAAGGAGCTTTTGAGAGAGGCAGCCCCAGCAGGCATGTAAAGAAAACCCTTATCTATCCACTTTGATGTCAGAATTACTAAGTAGAGATTATCCACCATCGGTGCAAGAAACAGTGTCTGCTGCAAACATACAACCAACACTCAGGTTCAGCTTAAGATATAGAGAACTGTGCCACCTCTCTTCCCTCCTGTCCCACTCACAGGTCTAACAGGAGGGCAATCCTAGTCTCCTCCAGCTTTCTGAGTTCAGCAACCCGCTCTCTCTTACCTCTCCTTTGCTGTTGAAGCCGAGGATCTCAAAGCTGATGCTTGATGTTCTTCCTGACTGGATTTCATGGAGATGCCGGAAGAGGTTGAGGCGTGCTCTGCCCCGCCCATTGTCCAGCTCTCCTTGTGTTAGGACACCCAACAGTGTTGACTTCCCTGAGTCCACATTGCCTAGGACAGCTACTCGGAGGTCTAGGAACTACAGGAAAAAGAACAAAGAAATCATTACACTTAACCACTGAGTGCACAAGCACTACTGGGCAGTGGAGATGCAGCTCAGAGAGCTTCCCTACATCAGGGACAATGTGCAATTAAATCTTGCTCAGATTCTGCTCCCAGCAAACCACTGCCCAGCAGTCATGATACACTCTCTAGAGTTGAGATGTGACATATCAGGCTTTGACATCACAAAAAAGGCTATTTGTTGCAGCAGATCTCTAAATCCTTCCTTTTTTGCACATGGGTCTGCATCAGAACCACTGCAATAGAAGCCAAATAATTTTTCACCTCTGATCCAGGCAATCTTCTGCACTGACATCTGCCTCAATCACAGTCTTGGAGATAAGAAGCATTATCATCAAGCCTCCCTCTGGAAGCCTTTTAAAGCATCTGCTATGGCCCAAACTATGACAAAGTGCCTCTAGGGTTTGGGCTCCCATCCCAAAAGGAAGCTGCTCATACTGCTCGTACAAAGCCTCTAGGTCTCCAGCAGGAGAAGACAGCCAAACCACAGGTCCCTACCTGCTGGTTGTCAGGCACCTTTCGGACAAGCACCTCTGTTATCTTCCTTGGAACATCGCTGTCGTAATCGACCTCCCTCTCCCGCAGCACCGTAATGTCAGCCCCAACCCTGCCACAAAGACATAAGGAAGGAGTGAGACACATTTGTACTTAACAGCTCTTACACCTCTGCAATAACAGCTGACTAGGATAATAGCTGATTTGCACCTCTAGGATAACAGCTAAGTGAATGGCATGAAGGCTGGGGATAACAGGGAAGGAGCCTCAAGCTTCTAGACAGAAGCCCTCTACCTTTCCTCACGAGCCTCAGGACTGAAGGAATGTCAGTCATACAGGGGCTTTGTAGGATGGAGCTGCCAGCTGCTCGGGGGACCCCAGGGAGTCACGCTGGTGGCCCTGCAGACAAAAGGAGCACGTACTTCTCTGCCATGCGGCGCAGCGTCTTGAGCGAGGCTCGCATCTCCTCCTCCGAGAGGCCCACCAGCAGCCCGTTGTCCTCCACGCCGATCTGATAGACGGCCTCCCCTCGGCCCTCCTGCAGCCGCCACTTCATCTGGGTCACCAGGTGCTCAAAGCGGTACTGCGAGGGGTTCACCAGCTTCAGCTGTTTAACAGAGGGGCAGTTCTAGTCACAGCCTGGATGCAGAGGCAATCCCATTGCCCAATTCTGTGAAGCAATGTTCCCAACTCTGTTCCCAACTCTCTCCCAATGTTCCCCACCCCTAGAAAGCACAGCCTGTATCAGTGTCTGAACAGAAGCCCTGGGACTGGTGAGAAGGGGTTTCACAAAGGTACAAATATATGGTAGAGGAATTTTCCTGCATCCTGACAAAGGGATCTGTACCCTGTCTGCTGCAGGGTTAAAGACAGCACTCTAGGACCAATCTGTGATCCAGGAACCAATAAGTGCAAATGGCAGAGCAGCCACAAGAAAGTGGCAAATCATTTTCAGGGATATCTGCATCTCTCTCTCAAGAACAATACAATAAGCATCATATACTATAAGAGATTCCTAAAAATCAGTACTGAGATCAAGCTTTTCCAGCTCAGCAGACTGGGTAAAGCTTGGCACAGAGACACAGAAGATGAATGGTAGTTCCTTAGTGTAGCATCCACTCTTCCGTCCCTTCCTTGGCCATGTTACCCATAGGCTGTCTTTGGTGAAGTTACTCACTGCAAAATAATCCTCTGGGAGGAAGACCTCCTTCTGCAACCTCAAAAGACTCACCTTGTACTCGATGTTCCCATCTTCTGCCTGGTCAGAGAATGAAACAAGACAGAAGAGTTAGATGCTATGCCCACAGGGACTTCTACAGGCACCAGCTGCCCATATATTCTGAAACTGGTGCTGAAGATTTCAAAGAGAGGGAAAGTGGCAGAAGGAGACTGTGTTAGGTCCCAGCCTTCTGCCATTCTTTCCTACACTCAACTAGAACTTTCCTTATGGTTTGTTTGTTTGTGCTGTTTGTATCCCACATCATGAACACCAAAGGACAAAACTAGATTGGGGCACAAGGGTAATACTATCCAGGGGGAAATTTTTTTTCTGGACAGTAAAGAATAGGGCCAGTCTAAGAGTCACAGAGAAAGAGAGAATTCCAGTTTTAAAAGTTACAGGCCAGCAAATAATTTAAAGTCTCCCCCCTCACCCATCTATGACCCACAAAATGTCAAACACAGCATCCCACTCCCACCCTATCCAGCAGCTTCCATCCATCCAATGTGCACATAAACAGGGCCCTGAGAACAAAAGCTTCTGCTTCCTCTCCTGCTCAATGATACTCTCCCTCACTCAATTAGTTTTTCACTGACTTCCTTCTACAACTTTATGAATCTTCTCTCTGCAAGGAAGGACTAAAGACATAAAGAAGCAAAGTAATGACTCATCTGCTAGCTAGTCACTGGCCAAAGTTCTGGAGAACCAGACCTGATTGGGACTGTCTGTACACAATATGCTCAGAAGTACTTTCTCAGGGAAGGCCAGATCGGGTTGTAACAGAAAGGTCTGGGTACTCATCAAGCTCAATTCAACCAAAACAGGCTCCAGCTTATCAAAGAGAATATCTAATTTTACAATTAGATATACAATATTTAAGTAATTTTTCCCAGTGATTCAGTATAAGGACCACTAAGAAAGGGCTGGAGCCTGCAGGCAGCCACATACTCTGTCAGACTAAATGGGGCTGGCAACAGTAAGCACTTCCTTTTCCTCTGGATACCTATTTGCATGTCAGGAGAGGCAACAGCCCTCTCCTTGCCTTCCAGCTCAGCTCTTAACCACAGCGGTGCTTACAGTGGCAAAAGGCCAACATAAGTTCTCAACTGTCAGCTCAGTTCTCTGGCAGCAGAGCTGTGCTGTGAGACGAAGGTACTTGTAGCAGGTTTTCCTCTCTTGCCATCTACCAGCTTTCCAGTTCTAAGCAAAACCCATTCACCTACTGCACTGTCATCTAAATAAGGGAGTGGGTCTTCTCCAAGGCACTTGAGACTAGAAAAGCAAACAAGCCTCGACTTGCTGGGGCACACACCGCACAGGGTAGCCAGAAACAGGAAGCTGAGTTGAAACCACAGGGGACTCTACAGCCTCCAGCTGAAAGGAACAAGAACTAAACTGCGGCTACAGGGCACAGTGCTGCCCGCGGAGAAGATCTAACAGTAGCAAAGTGCTGTTTTCACATCTTCCCAAGAGTCCCAGGCCTGCCTTGTGGAGGAATTGCTCCCTCCCAGCACAGGCTATTATATATTTTACAGAAAGTTCACTGACAGGGGCCAAGCAATTGAGTCTGAGCCAACGTCATTCTGCCCACAGTGACAGTTCTATGAGAGTAGTGACAACTGCCCCAGCTGAGCACACATCCGCGGTACTACCAATGCCACTTCTTCCTGCTGCAAGAGACAAGTGCCGCACCCTCTGTCCATGGCACCTGCAGCCCTATGGAAGGAACCAGCTGTCAAATTAGCTGGGAAGGGAGTCACCGGGACCCGTCTGGCAGCTGGAAAGGGGCTCAGACCCACCAGATCGTCTCTCGGGGAGGGAGAGATGCAAACGGGATGTTTGGAACTACGAGGCGAGCAAAGCTTTTTTTCCGAAGCTATTTCAATGGCAGGCGGCAAAGCGCCCACAGACAGATGCCAGGCAGTGCGATACGACTGACGGACAGGCTCCGGTGGAGCCCGCAGGGACCTCGCTAGCACCAGGGGCGCGAGAAGGGCCCGGAGGAGAGCCCGGGGCAGGCGGGCACACCGGGGCTGCAGGATAGCTCCTAGGGCTGCTGTCAGCCCGACCGACTCCGGCACGGCCCCGCACCAGCACTGCCGGCACCTCCAGCCAGACCCTCCACCAACCTGTGGGGTCCGGCCGTGGCATCGACCCGCTCCGGGGGGCACCGACCTCCGGCCCCTCCCGCCCCTCAGCGGCAGCGGCCCCCGGCCCCGGGCCTGGTCTCCCTCCCTCCGCGGCTGACGGGACGCGGCGGCTGCCGGAGCTCACCTCGGGCGGCAGGTACGGGGGGTTGTTGGCCTTCCCTCCGCGGCTCCGCCCGTTCTTCTTCTTCGTCTTCGAGCCGCCGCCGCCGCCAGGCGCGGGCCCCCCGCGCCCGCGCAGCGCTGCGCTTGCCCCGCCGCCCGCCGGTCGACAGCAGCCCCCGAACAGTTCTGACACCCGCGAGTCCATGGCGGACACCGCGGCCCCGCCGCCCCCTGCAGCGCCCGCTCCGCTCCCCGCCCGGCCCCGCCGGCCCGGCTCCGGCCCCGGCGTCACCGACCGCCGCGCGGCGCCCCGGGAAAGCGAGTCCCGCCCGCCCACAACGCCGAGAACGCTCCGCGCGCCTCCCGCTCGAAACTACATCTCCCGGCGTGCCTCGCGGCGCAACCAGCTCGCTCCCGTACGGGTTCCATCCGCGGGGGCTGATGGGAGTTGGAGTCCAAGGGAGAGGGCGCCGCCTCTCGACCGCGGCTGACAACGCGCGGGATGCCACCGCTCCCCGGGCCCCGCTCGCCAGGATCTGCGAACGCCCGTGGATTATCCCTTTCGCAGTTCACAGCCCCGGGTTCCCTGGTTATTGACATCGAGCGATCAGTCATTTTGGATTCGGGAAACTGGGGCACTTTCGAAGCTGTTTGGCATTGGAGGTACCTCATGACTACGCAGAGGTAGCAGCCCGACACAGAGCGATCCCAAAACACACATTAAGATCTAACCGAGGGGGCGGCCGGAACAGCAAAAGAACCTCTAGCTATGCGCCGCATCCCCTCAATTCCCAGTCTCCAGTTCCACGGCCACTACATCTTCCCTTTCCCCGCAGCATGCCCTGGGAGAGCGACTCTGGATCATTGTTCGTGTACAACCGACACTCTCCGTGGCGCTCCGCACAGGTGGCCGCGGTTCCTGTAAAGCAGCCTCGGAGCGGCTCCTCTCGCCATCCCGCCCTCCACTCGCCGTGTGCTGGAGGCGGCACCCAATGGGGCGGCAGGCACAATGTTTCCAAACACGGCACTCCCTGCACACTCTCCGCCTCCCCGCGGCAGCACGAAGGCGGCTCCTCTGCACGACAGCGGAGCCGCCAGGGCTGCTGGGAGCGGGGCGGGGGACAGCGGAGCTGCTTCCTGCAGCCATCCCCGGACAGCACTGCAGAAAGCAGCCCGAGGTCCCGGCACAGCCTCAGCCGGGCGCTCCCGGGACGGGAGCGGGCGGGGGAGCGGAGGGGCGGGGCTAGGCAGAGACCCCGCCTCCCACCACGCCCATCGCGCGGCGCGGCCCGTGCGCCGCTCCCGTGAGGCTGCGCGGCGGCGGCGGCATTTAAACCGCGGCGGCCGTTAGGGGCGGTGTGTGTGCCACGGGTTTTTCGCTCCCGGCGCTGGCGGGCCTGGATCGCGGCAGCGACATGGGGCCTCGGGGGGACAGGGCGGTGCTGGGCAGCCCCGCTGTGGCCGTGGCCTTCCCGGGAGCTGTGTGCCGGGGCAGCGGCTACCGCTTCGCCTGCGAGCTTCTGAAGCACGTCCTGCACCAGCGGAACCAGCTCCCGCTGCCCTACGAGCAGCTGGCCTACTTCTGCCGGCGGGCGGCCCAGGTGAGGCGCGGCGGCCACGGGGTCCGACCCGTGCTCGGGGGCGGCCTCTGGGCCAGGGATTGGGAGGGCCGTGGCGTTTGAGGTTTGTTTGTGAGCTCCTGGTCTCGCTCGGGGATTCGCACGGCAACGTGCTTTCATTTTAAAGTAAAGCGCTTGTTGTGGCTGCATCTCTAAATGTTACCTCTTCTTTTCAAAACGAGGCAAAAGTAGCGGTAAATTCAGGCTGCTGAAGGTGCCGACAAATTGCTCTTAATTGATTGTTTCCTGCTTTTTCGCTCAAAGCATGTCGCTGCTTTGTTACCTCTAAGCAAAAACCAAGCAAATTACTGTTAAGAGATTTCAGGGGTAGCTGATCTTTGAAAGATGGGCTTCTACTTTCTATTGGAATTCATCAGTAGCGCGATTCAGATTCTAACTGAGTAGCTATGGATTGTGCTTTTGTGTTCTTCTTGCATCTCCTGATTTGGGAAAAGATGTCCATCTTCCTCAATTGGGTACTTGTAGCTCTCAAAATGAACACAAACTGCTTGTTCCTTCACTCTCTGGGATGGGCCCTGCTTTCTGCAGAGTATAATATATGTTCATAACTGAATGTGTTAATGTGAATTTTTATTTTCGAGGGTGGAGATGGAATTGAGAAACCACATTCCCTGGGCCTAGCAAGCAGAAAGTGCCAGCAGTTGCTGACGGAGCTGGAGGGATTGTTCCAGCACCTGGAAGTCATGTTTAGTCTGACGCTGGTTCCTCGGGTTCTTTTCCTACTTGGAGGCAACGTCATGAACCCCAAGGAGCTCTATGAGCTGAATTTGGAGGGGTTCTGTGAGGGCTCTGCTGAAGAGAGCCTCCAGACCGCACCCTGTGTTCGCCAGCTCTTTCACCGCCTGTTTGTTGCTGATGTCTTCAGTGAACTTAAGGCTCTCCCTGTGACAGGCACTCTTGTCCTGGTCCAGGGCCACCGTGACTGTGGTGTTGAGTGGTTCCGGCCCAAGCTCAACTACCAAGTGCCGAGCCGAGGGAGGAAGCTGACTGTTAAGTTGTCCTGTGATGGAGACCTCCACGTCAGTGCCTCACCTCCACGGCACACAGCACCTGCTTGGGAGGACTATGTCTGGTTCCAAGCACCAGTGACCCTCAAAGGCTTTAGTGAATGAATGGTTTCTGTAGAAATTTAACTGGAATATTGAATACTTTTTTTTTTCTTTAGGTGTTAATTTTAGCAAATGTAACCATGTATTTTTGAACCATGTCTGCCTGAATTTTTTTTTTCTTCATGGTGTCTACTGCCTTCCTGTATCTTGCTGTGCTCCTCTATTGTCCTTATTTCCTGAGTTGTTGTTGAAGGCAAATCCACTTTAAGGCACAGTTGCACAGAGGTCCAGCAATTAATTCTTTAGGGACCTGATCTATGACCTGGGATGAATTAATGTGTCGGGAGTAAAGCTTCCCTGCTGAGTGCTTGCTGACCTGGATACATACAATCTCCTCCTGAGTTTTAATATCGCCGTTTTCTGACCCTGCCTTTGCCATGTTACCCGTAGGCTGTCTTAGGTGAAGTTACTTCCTGCAGAATAACTCTGGGAGGAAATCCTGCAGTCCTTAAAAGGCTCCCCACAGCAGGAAAACCAGCGAGCAAAACCGGACCGGCACACAAAGGTAACCTTGTTGCCGAAGAGGGATTTATTCCCAGCTAGTAAAGAATGGGGCAGGATGAAGGCAGTTCCTCTGCAAAGGGCTGGAGCTGCCGGGGCTGCTGTGGAGATGGGCGGAGCCGCTTCAAGGGGCCCTCTGGCAACTCTACAAGCAACAGCCGCAGCTCCCGAAGCTGCCTCAGCAGCCGTGGTGTGCACCTCCTTTGAGTACTCAAGTGCTTGTCCATCTATTTGGTAAAATTACACTTTCCTATAACTCACTTTCTGTTCCTTAACACTCCAAAGTAAGCAACTGAAAGATCTTGTAACTAGTGCTGTCTTGGAGATGGAAAGAGACTGGTACTGTGGAGGCAGGGTAGCAGTAAACAATTTATTTTTTTTTTTACTAATTTTTGCCTAACAGCCCTGAAATTTGGTTAGATATAAGATTAAAAGTAAGCAGTTTCTTTGCTAACCTTCTTCAGAGAAAGTTAGAAGTGCTGCTGCAATAATGGAAGATTACTCTCACTCAAGGAAGAAACTTTGACTTAAACGTTTCTGAAATGCATAGAAATCAGGGGAATGTGATCGAGTTTAGCACTATTTTTACCTACCAAATTTGTGTTCTTAGTCAGACTGTATTACCTAGAGTCAGAAGTTGAGTCTGTTCTTCTGGGCTGGTGTCTACTGCAGAACAGGACAGGGAGAAAAGCCCTGGGAGCAGTGTGTTAAACTAGATATCTGCTGGAATTGTCTTCAGTCAGCTGGGCTATTATCTGTGCTGCAATGAGCTTTCAGTAGCTTGAAATAACTCCATCCCACTTGAAGAGAAAGGTGAGCCTACTTGGTAGTGAGGGTACTTGCTGTTACTAGTCAAAAATGCACAATGGGGTGGTAAAAGTCCTTTGTGAAGAGGATGAAGGTTGAAGTAAACCTCTACACTTGGTGCATATTTTAACTTTGACCTTTTGGGTGGAATGAGATGATAGAAGTAGTAGGAACTTAATTTGGAATTTTTGAGCTTGGAGAACACTAGAGTGCCCTCTCTGCTGTAGTATCCATTAATATATGTTTATAGTGTGCAGTAGCTGCTTCTTAAGCTTGTTCTAGGGGAAAAACTTGGAGTGATGAAAGCTGCCTTATGTGCAGCTGCCCACTTGAATATGGAATCTCAGGCCTCTTGAAGGAAAAATATAACTTGAATGTAGGAGTGTTTGTGCTCAGGAGATCAAAACCTTTTATGCTTCCACCAAAGCTGCTTGTAACACATGTTTAAGAATGCAGGTGCCCAAGTGTTTAACAGAAGCCTTGGCCAGTTCCTTTCACCTCTCTTCCTCAGCTGAGTGCAATGTTACTGCAATAAACTGTTTACATATTCTGTTATACTTGAACTATGAATGCAGCAATGATAGGGTGCTGGGAACTAAGGAACACAAGATGCTCTTTGGATTTCTGTTAAGTTTTTTTTCTTATGAAAACATTACAAATTGATTTTAAAAATCAGGACTGTAATTATTATCAAAATAAAATGCTGGCTTCTATATGTGATTATTTTGAGGGATTAAACAAATCCAGTCTAAAGGTTCTGCCACTGGTAGAACCACTTGTTTCCATTCTATGCATATATTTCAACAGCAGGCTCACAGCTGTTCCACTTTTCGGACAAACTGCATGATGTCTTGTGCCAGGAGCTTTGGTTCCTCAAAGGCAGCAAAATGGCCTCCACGTGGCATGTAAGTGTAAGTGACAATGTTCTTGTAGACATCCTTTGCCCAGACACGTGGTACATGTACAATCTCCTGAGGAAAAGCTGCAATCCCTGTGGGAACGTATACGCTAACCCTGGAAGACATAAGGTAATTGCTGAAACAAGTCTTGGGGGAAGTCTATAAAAACCTCTGTCTCTGGGAACACATTCACTGAAGTTTCCCCACTTTGTGCAGTGCACCCCCTGATCTGCACTCCACTGAGGAGCTTAATTTCTATTCAGGTATCACTGAGTTTTAGAAGATGATATCTGTAGAGGTGCAAAGTAGAGCCAAGTTTGCATACAGGTTGATCTTGAAATGTTCCCCATCTCTGAGTTTAACTTTCGTAAGTGTTGTGCTACATGGCAAGATACCACACCTCTTTGAGAAATGAGCCAGCTCCTGTTTGCTTTAGAATATGATACCAAATGCATAATAAATGACTCTCTGGAAAGGAAAGGGGCTGGGTCAGTCCTCCAAGAAAAAGACTCCCCCCACTTGTTCAGATGATCAGTTACTTGTCTGCTCAGCAACATTTTGTGGTCAGCCTCTCTTAGCATCATCTTAATGAACCAGCTGTCACAAGGTGCTGGGTTTCAAGTACTGCTCAAGTTGCTACCCCAGGTTTGTGCTTAACTCTTGTAGTTCTTAGCTTATTCTGCAGCAAGCAGTAGCCTTCCTAATTCAGTTTATACTTCTCTCTTAGGTGTGCCCATGATCTTCTGTTTTGTTTTCACTGAACTGGGCTACAAGTCACATTTGTTTGGTGAATAAGTATATAGACTTGTATTTTGAACACAAGACTTTGCTTGGTGCTTTAAGTCTTTTGCATTGTCTTGGCTGCAAGCTACCTTGTGTGCATTATGGGTTCAAAAGAAAAGTGACCCTTAACTATATTTATCAAAAGCAAGTAAGAATTTGGACTTTCATTTTTCTCAGAATTAAATGTGCTGTTGTAAGTGATCTAACTGTTGATACAGGCAAATGTTTCAACCTCATTTGCAAATTTGCCTTGCAACTTGCCACATAATTACCTGTTATGAATTCTTGGGTCCTTGGAAAAGTTTTCCTTGTAGTATCGCATTGAGGACACAATGGAGGATGTCACCCAATAAATCATCACGTTGGTCAAAAGCTCATCAAGAGAGTATTTGCTGTTGAGAGAGAGAGGATGAAATTTAACTGGAAGCTGTTCCTCAGTGCTCTATGCTGGGCTCATGCCCTGAAGAACTGCTGTCCCTCTTAATCTCCACTTATTTTCAAGCAGCAGATTAGCTGGCACCTGTGTGTTCAGAGCAAAACCGCCTGGTGCTGAAGCAGTAGTGTGCAGGCAGTCTGCCCTAAGTTTAAACTGGTGCTTGTCATGTCAGCCTTTCTTCCCTAAATTTCAGCTTTGACAGGCTAGTATCTTACCTGTATCCTCATATTAGTTCCCACCAGTCATTCTTTTAATGAGACTTCTCACAAAATAACATCATAACCTAACATCTTACCTTTCCAAGCCTCCATCATCTTTATTCAGAAACGATTTGTCTGTCCAGGTTGAGAATTTCTCCATAATATATGCAGCAAGCCCCACTGGGGAGTCATTCAGTCCACAACCTAAGTGAGGAGAAGAGCTGTTGCAGTTGCCTGGCATTGCAATACTTCAGTGCAAGTTAAACTAGACTTTCATGAAGAGTTCAGAGTTTTCTAGAGAATTCAGTAGAGAGTCTGTATTTATCTGTCCCTTATAGTACTTTATTCGTGACAAATTCCCTGCAGAGGAATTCTGGCTGTATCTGAGGGCACTACAAATTCAGATAATTCCTATACAAAAGGAGCTGGGAGTTGGGGAACTTCCATTGGCTTCTTGGTGATGTGTGGCAGAAGGAGCACAATCAGATGTAAAGAGATGGCAGTCTGAAAAGAAATTTCAGATAAAATATTTGGGAGCATTATCCTGCTTAGTATGGTATGTATTCTGATTCTAAAATATATTTATGAAACAGGGCTAACAAGAATACATCAGATTCAGAGTGTCACGAATATAATGGATTCTGTGTTTTTGCTTTTCTTTTTTTTTTTAGAGTTTGCAAAATTGCCCTAATCTTTGATCCAGCTGATTTTTGAGAGCACTACCCTTGACTCATGGAATCTCTCATATGGGAGCAGCCAAACTTGAACCCACTTAAACTCCTTTGAGCTTTGTTGATATCAGTTTTTTTTGGCTGGTTTTATTAACCAGTCACTTATAAACCAAAGCTTGGATAACTGTCAGTTTTACATCTAATTATTAACTTATTCATAGAGAAGTTAGGATCTTCTTAAAGGGTACAGATGTCAGCACAGATTTTTGTGATTCTCTCCCTCCCCTGGAACTTGTGGATTTATTCCTGTGCTTGGATTCTCATGTTGACTAGTTTTAATTCTTTACTTAAGGCAGTTCAATTTCTTAAGAATTCTGGGGAAGGAGCCTCCACAAAATATTATTTTAAATTACTTATATAAGTTAGTGGATCTACAGCTGTTTGATTCTGCCAAAGCTGATTCTTGAAGCACGATTTCCCTATGATATTATCCCCTCTAAATCAATTCTCCTTGTTTAAAAAATTGTCAGATTTCTGATCAGAGAGAGACTAAACATACTAATGTTCTTTTTTTTTTTTTTTTTTTTTTTTTGTGAATCCCTTTACTTTTTGGCCCTTAAAAACACCCAAGCAACCAGAAACACCACCACCACAACTCCCTCCCACTTGGTATATTGTTTATCTTCTTTTATTTCTTGGGGTTTGCAATCACTTCAAGCAATAGTCTAGGCATTCTTTGATGTTCCAGTTTGAGCTGCTTCTCCTTTGGTGAATTGCTGGGATGGGGGACTGTTTG